AAGAAGGCTTTTTAAAAAAAAAAAAAAAAAAAAAAAACAAGTGTCTTCTTGGGGTCCCTCAGGTTGAGGTGGGGAATGAGAGGAAATCATTCTGGAGGAACGCAAGGGAAAATGGCTTTAGATACTTGGGTGACGATAGAATTTATTCTCATAATTGTTTTAATAGCTTTTGTATAATCCTCATCGCTATTATGAGATATAAAATGTATTTATCAAATCTGTAATCATTATGCCAAAAAATCTGAATTACTGTAATGTTTTGCATATTGTTAAAACTGTAACTTTAATTGTAAAAAAAAAAAAGAAAAAAAATTATCCTATCCATTCAAAAGTAGGGATATGTCTATGAAGTTCTTTTTGTTGTTTAAGCACATTATAGTTATTATTTATATTAAAATTTTTATGCATTTATTTATTTTGGGTGTTCATATGTATGTGTATGGGTGTGCATGTCAGGGTGCATGTGTGGAGGCCAGAGGACAACTTCTGGGATTTGATTCTCTCTTTCCATCTTGTGACCAACATAGTGCCTGGGAGTTAGTAAGCTCTGGTATGGGCTTGTAATCCCAGTGCTGGATAGCCAGAAACAGATGAATCTCTAGCTGATGGTTCACCAGCTTAACAAAGTGAGCCTCAGGTCAAGGAGAGACCCCAGCTCAAAAAAATCAAGTTAGATGCTCCTGAAGAATGATGCCCAAGGCTGTCTACCGTCTTCCACATGCACATGGTGCACACACACCTGTACCCACACCAAATAATCTAATGTGTTGTTAAGGAGCCATAAAATTAGCAGTAATAGAATAGTATAAAATAGGGCTGGCTGAGCATGCATGAAGCCCTGGTTTAATCTCTAGCATTACAGAACCAGGCTTCATGATGCACACCAGCAATTCTAACACTTGGGAGGTAGAGGCGGGAGAATCAGAAGTTCAAGGTCATCCTCAGTTTTGTAGTGAGTTTGAGGCTAACCTAGGTTTATGAGATCTTGTCTCAAAAATGAAATAAAAACAAAAAATATGGAATAGTTTTGCCATTGTTCAAGTTCAGAGTTTTAGTGAAATGAGAAGACAATGTTAAATTATTTAATATAGTTTCTTCCTCATCTCTTAGAAAATATTTTGAATAATTCTTTGAGGTGAACTCTAGAAACAGTGCAATCACTTTTAACCAAAGTGTACTTTGCTAATATTGTATGGTCAGATTCTCTAATAAAGTGTCTAAGAACTTGGAGAATTAGTAGTTCAATTTTCCCAGCTTTTCCCCTGGCATTTAAAAACTTAAGAAGATGGAGTTTGCAGCTTTTTTGGTGATATTTATCATTGTAGGTATCTCAAAGTTTTTTCTGCTGGGCGTGGTGGCACATGCCTTTAATCCCAGCAGCCTGTAGGCAGAGGCTGGTGGATCTCTGTGAGTTCAAGGCCAGCCTGGTCTACATAGTGAGTTCCAGGCCAGCTGGGGCTACAGGGAGACCCTGTCTCAAAAAGACCAAAAGAAGTTGCTCTTAATGACATGCAGTATGGAGGTGGCAGAGGTTAGCTGAAAAGACTCATCTTTTCAGATGCTTAAGTGACACAGTGTAGCCACACCCCTCAGAAATGTGTCTAACCCCTGTGGTCAACTGAGCATAATGAGTATTCAAGAATGAATGTCTCAAAATGTCAGCAAATGCATTTCTAATCAGAGATAGTGCTCTAATTGTAAAACATGCAGACTGTTTCTAATTACCTTTTTACATATGATAAAATACTGCCTTAGTTTCAGCAACAACTATATAGTAGTTGCTATTTTCTAGATATTTTCCTTTTATAATATTTATAATTAGATATGACTGAGTCTAAATAGAAGACATAAAGACCCATCTTAGCTTTTTGGCAAGTTAAATTTTTATAGCAATTTGAATATTTCAATGATGGCTCTTTCAAAATTTATCTTGACTTCGCCTACTTCTCTCCTTCTTTGCTGTTCTTGGCTAGTTGCTGTCACTTCTGTCTTGGACTACTACTATAACTTCCTATCTGATCACTCTCTTCTTCTGAGCATCCTACAGTCTGGGTGGTTCCCCAAATTAATATGTGATAATAAATAAACAACATTGAAAAACTGAGTCCCTAACTTCATTGCCTAATATTTTGTTGTCTCTCCAATTTCACTTAGAACAAAAGGTAGAATGTTTACCACCCACTATTCTCATTTTTAAGAAAGTGACATTTGTTCTAAGTTTATGATGCAAAAAAATCCCAGCAGAGAAAATAGCAATGACAAAAAGGCTATGGGAAGAAATGGCCTGTTCTAGAAACAAAGGACACCATTCAGAGAATGCTTCCCCTGCTCTATGTACTCAGTATACTTAATTCACTTGGCTTTTCTAGTGATTTTTTTTTTATTTTATTTGTTGAAACAGCATCTTATGTAGCCCAAGCTGACTTTGTACTCTCTTTGTAGTGGAGAATTATCTTGAACTGATCCTTCTATCTCTATCTCCCAAGTGCTTTGTACAGGAGTGGACCATCATACCATACCATACCATACTGAATTTTTTTTTTTTTTGTCTTTTTGAGACAGGGTCTCCCTGAAGTCCCAGCTGACCTGAACTCACTATGTAGACCAGGCTGGCCTTGAACTCACAATGATCCGCCTACCTCTGCCTCCCGAGTGCTGGGATTAAAAGCGTGCGCCACCCACCATGCCTGGCTCATACTGAATTTTTAAAAATTAAATTTTATTTTATTTTATTTTATTTTATTTTATATGTATGAGTATTTTGCCTACATGTGTGTAAGTGTACCTGTGTTATGAAATGCCTGTGGTGGCCAGAAACAGGTGCTGGATCCCCTGGAGTTACAGACAGTTGTTAGCTGCCAGGTGGGTGCTGGAAACCGAACCCAGGTCCTACAAGAGCAACCAGTGGGCTCTTAATCAATGAACCATTTCTTCAACCTCCACATAGAATTTTTGATGGTTGTGTCTATAAAGTATCTTTCTTGCACCCACAGCCCCCTGCATTATTTTATGCTTTTAAACTCTAAAATGTATATCATTATTAGTTATTTTATAGATTCGTTTTCAAATGTTTATCTCTGTATTTAGAATATAAACGGTGTGATCCTAGAACAAAGTTTGTCTCTAGCAGACTATGGTAGACTTCCATGAAATGTTCTTGGATGAGTGAAGGAGAGATAGGTTATGCTCATATTAATGCAGTCTAAGACCTGGAAGTCTTTGAAGTATCTGTGCCTTTGTGGTATACTGTGCTTGGGGTTTCCTAACTGCCTATGAAAATGCTTGACAGTAGTTTATGAGTCTGGTTTCATGAGGCCTTCGAGTGGCATTTAATTGTTTCCTCAGATGTCCTCATTTTGTATATGCTTTTGTTATGTACTTTAGCTCCTCTTGGTGTTGTAGGTGATTGTTTTCCATTTGTCTCTGTTTAGATGAGCGTCCCTGAGGATAGAATGTATTCTAGGGCAGAATTTTATGGTCTTGTTTGTTTGTCTTTTTGTGTTTGCTTTCTGAGATGGTACTGCTGTTATAGCTCAGCCTGGCCTGGAACTCATTACAAAATGCAGTCTGGTTTTGAACTTGCTGGCTTCAGCCTCTGTTTCCTGAGTGTTGGGATTACAGATGTGAGCTATCATGT